CTCTCCCCCTCTCTCTCTCCCCCTTTCCTCTCCTCCCTCTCTCTCTATTACACTTCAAAAGTCCGGATTCTGTTTAATTATTATTATTGAGTTAAATAATAATATTATGTTATATTATTTTTAATTTTTGAATTTATAATAATAATAAACATGTTATTTTTTAAAATATAAATAAATTTATAAAATAAATTTAGCATTTACTTTATTATTACTTACTACGATACATTTTATGATATCCGAAGATTATCTTAAGAATTTTCCATTGCGCACAAATGCATTTTTTTCATTTCATCATGTACAAGACAATTCTATATCATTTTGACAGTTAAGGCCGCAGCATAAACTTTTGCATAATGCATAGTGCATAAGCGAATCAACTAATCAGACTCTTTCCTTTCCTCCTATTCCATAGAAAAGAAGAATTTCAATTGGTTGATTCCCTTATGCATTATGCAATGGCCGCTCTGTGCTACGGCCATTATCAATCTATCATAATCGCTGACAAAATAGGCGTTCAGAAATGATGGTATGCTCTGTCAGAATTTGTACGCGTTCCGAAAACCATCGAATCAAAAAGTGTTGCAACCTTTTAGTAACTGGCTTAGTTTCCATCTTTTAGGATTTAATCCGGTCAGAATATAAGGGCGTGTTCATATCTTGACAAAAAATAGAAAGCGGAAAAGCAGTGGCCAATCAGAACTCGCGCTGGTAAGTACAAAAAGCCGAAATTGTAGACTACCAGCCTAGAGACTGTAGACTACCTAGAGTTTTGATTGGCTGCTGCTTTTCCGCTTTCCTCTTTTCCATCAAGATGTAAACGCTCTAAGAACCAACCAATTATATAGTCGAGTATTCTCCTGTTACAGTCGAACAGAGGAATGTTTGACTGTAATTGATATGCTTATTTTCAGCGTTAAAACAGGTCATGTGATCAAAATTGACGAATAAATACGAATATTAAACATCACGCATTTTGATCACATGATCTGTTTGACGCTGGAAATGAGCATCGAATGTCTGCATGAAAATACAGCCTTATATTCTGATCGGATTCCACCTTCGGTGGAAACTAGGCCACTGGTCAAGTCAGATCAGTTGTTATAACAAAATCATAGTAATAAAGCCGTAACAGCAGTATATAAAGGATATAATTATAATATACAGAATATTTGTTGACTGTAAGTATGTACAACAGAGAAAGGAATAATTTTACATGAAAAAATTAAATTAGAAATTTAGACTAATTTTTTTATATAATCCTTTCGAAAAAATCAACCTTACAAGTTTAGATGTTCATCAGATTTAATTAATTTATTAAAGTACCAAAACATAAATTATTTATAATTAGAAGAGAATTGAATATTTGATAGAATGAGTAACATTTTCACATACACATCCATTTATAATGTAATAAAATTGTACATGAATGTTTGTTTTTATTACATATTCCTGATTATTCACTATCAGGAAGCATCAGTGTATTGTTAGGTTATATTCAAGCCATTTCCACTATCTCGTTGCACGTGTACCGTGTACATTTCAATAATATTTGCTCGCGTAAAAAGCATACTTGCATATCCACTTTCACCGGATATACCACTATCACTTGATGCTTTATTAAGAAATGTAATAGTATATATCTGATTGATTAAAACAATTAGTATGAAGAATGGCAGTGAGAAAGTATATACGATGTGGTGCTCGTGTATCACAACGGAAAAACGAGATGAAGACAGCGACGATTAGCAACAAGAAATCTATGGAATCCAATGACAAAAGCAAAAAAGCTTTAGTTGTCGCTAATCTTCAACAAGAAATTAAGATAGCGCGATTATTGGCTAACAATGACAAAAAAGTCCGAGACAAAGTGCTAAAAAGACTTAATAAATGGCTCACAGTACGATCACAGAGTTCGTTTGGTAAGTCAATTTTTGCACATTATTATGTAAATTACATAATTAACACACAATGATTTTTCGGTCCTTTATTATATGTAATCACAATAGTGTTCAAATATTATTTATTGGTTTAACTAGTATATTTCCAATAAATTGCTATTACAGATAGACTGTGTTCTAAGTTAATTTTTATCATTTTTATACAAAGTATATAAGTATACAAAGATTATAATTATTTTTACATGTATACTTCAACATCTTTAGATAGTATCTATAAGTGATGCTTTTTTAACGTTAGCAATAAAAAATGATTCAATTGTGTTATGTCATGGTATCATGTGTATCTCTTGCTGAAAACCATCCAATGTATTAAAAAGAAAGGATAAAGACCATTTAGACAAGTGCTTTCTTAATATTTTAAAGAAAGAAATACAAGATACGAATGACTCAATCATATATACAAAGAAATATGAAACTTGAATTTAAACACTTTGTATTTTGGTATGATATACTTTACATTCTTTACAGTGTTTACGAAGATAGATTTCATGAGCTTATGGAAAGGTCTTTTTTACTGCATGTGGATGTCAGATAAGATGTTGATCCAGGAGGAATTGGCAGAATCCCTGAGCAAGCTTGTGCATTGCTTAAAATCAAAAGATACAATTATACTTTACACTAGCTGTGCCCTACAGACGCTTGCTGCTGAATGGTTTGGCATAGATCAGTATAGATTAGATAAATTTTCCATGGTACTTTTATTATTTGAAATATATCTGATCGCAATAGACATGCAAAGACTTGAATATTTGGAAAGAATTTAATCTTAATATTTTTTTGTTTTTCTTGCAGTTGGTCAGGAGGATTCTTCGTCAAACATTTATAGTTTGTAAAAATCATTCGTGGAATATGGAATGGGTGACAGAATTTTCGAAAATATTTACGCAACTCTTTTTGCATGTAAAAACCGGCATAGGATTTAATTTGCATGTAACAGAGATATATCTAGAAGAGCTTGCCAAGGTATTTGTACAATATAAGAGAATTTGTAGCTAAAATTTAAACTTTTATTTAATTTGTATTAGAAAATGATATATTATTGATACTGTAGATTGGTAATGGAAATCTACAAGAAGATGTAGTTCACGAACTTATTAAACCCTTTGCTGAGTATCTAATAACTACAAGTGACGAACGACAGATGAAACATATCATGCGACATATTTTCAGATATTTGATATTCCAATCGGATATTGGTTTAGATTACATAGAAAAATTTAATTCTTGGAGAGACGTATGTTAATATATCTAAAATACAAAACTCCAATACATGATGTAACGTATCTCAACATATTTATTAATTTATAAACGCATATATTTTAAATAGGCTGGCTTTCCCTGTGCACATATAGATGATATGCAAAAAGTAGAAATATCTGACATAGAAGAAAATACTGACAATGAAGATAAACAATTTTCTGAAGCTGAGTCAGAAAATGAGATTGAGAAGCCTTTAGATCCAAGGGCGGGTAAAATGGATATCGAACTACCGCCAATACCTTTTAATGCCGCGAAGATTGCTGAGTTGCTTTCAACGTATAAATTTCATCAGTCATCAACGGCAAAATCACGCAGGCAGCTCTTGAGACTTTTTGACGAGTATGTTTCTTATTAATCTATCAAATATATAAGTTATAAATATATAAGTTACATTTATAACATGTTGTACCGAAAAAAACTTTATATTTTCAGATTTACAGAATTGTCACAAGGAAAGATGCCGCTTGGAATAAAAAGAGTCAGGAAACCAAATCGGCAGAGAAAAGAGATGGATTCACGAAAAGCTGCATTGCGCCTTATGAAGTTTGAGAAGGATTTGGTCTCTGACAATGTGAATAAGAAACGAAAAAGAGAAGAAAATGGAAATACTTTAGACTTAGAAACTAATGTTATTAAACCAGAAAACAAATTAACTGATACAACTGCAAAGACTGAGTTACAAGATGTAGATGCAAACATAGTACCATTTAAGAAACGGAAAAAAAGTGATTCAACTTGTAATGTATCTAGCACTAAATCTGATATTACTGTGAATAAGAAAAAGTTACAAATAGATACTTTCAAAAAGAGTAAAACTACAAAAAATAAATTGCACAAAAAAAGTAAGAAATCTATAGATAAAAATGTAGAACATAAAGCAAAGAAGGCAGTAATTTCTGTAGGACAAATAACTAAAACTAGTGAGTTAGATCAACATATTTCTATCTCGCGAATTTCTAATAAAAAAGTTCGATTAGAAGAAACTAACAACAAACCTGTAACCAAGAAAGGAAGTGAGATGAAAAACAAGATTACGAGTCAAAAAATACCATTAAAAAATGTAATGATATTTAATGCTATAT